CTCAGAATTTTAAAATGTTAGATCATTCGCCTCTTTTTTTTTTAAAGTAAAATGTACTAATTGATGGATCAATTTTTAGACATTCTTGCATTCCTGAAATAAAATGTGTGTGCAGCTTGGTTTTGATTTATTATGCACATTATTCATTACTCTATTTAGGGTAGTAATGTGTGTATATATATATTTAGGATTCCAGCTTTTTTTATTTTTCCCCTTCAAAATGATTCCATGCTGGTTTAATCCAGGAAGCAACAGTAAGAAAGTCACTATCAGATAGGTGAGCAGCAGGCTGTGGACTTGCTGTCCCACCCAAGCAACTGCAGCAAGAGAAACAATCATGGTCACGAAGTACATTTTAGGCTTTTCTTCCTTTAGTGTAAAGAGGCGTTTCCACCAGCCCACAGCTCTGCGTCTTTTTTTTTTTTTTTAAGATTTTATTTATTTATTTGACAGAGAGAGACAGCAAGAGAGGGAACATAAGCAGGGGAAGTGGGAAAGCGAGAAGCAGGCTTCGCGCTGAGCAGGGAGCCTGATGCGGGGCTCGATCCCAGGACCCTGAGATCATGACCTGAGCTGAAGGCAGTCGCTTAACCAACTGAGCCACCCAGGTGCCCCTCTGCGTCGAGTTTTTACCAGATTGCTACAAATTTCATGGAATCTTTGCTGTTGCTCAGGGTCCATTTATTGGAGCCCAAAATTCTAGGAGCTAGAATGGGAACAAGGTAGTCAGCCAAGCATAAAAACATAACAAAACAGGAAACACCGGACAGAACAGATGGATCTAGATATTAGATAGAGAAACACCAAAGAAACCACACCCATGATGGCAGGTGAAAACCAGGCTCTTTCCCATCTGAGGACTTTATCAGCAATCAGCATCACTTCTCCCCATCCCTGCAGCTGCTCTTCCAGACTTGCAGTCTCTGCAGCCAGCTGGATGGTGTTGCAATTATCTCCTTCCACCATCGTCTCTGAGGTGCTGCCCTAGTGAGTGCAAGCCACCCACCAAAGGAGCTTGCCACCAAAACCCACCCACACAGCAACCCTAGCACCTCAGGAGATATATCTTTAGCCTTCTTTTTATATCTTTTTTTTTTTTAAATTTATTTGCCAGAGAGAGACAGCGAGAGAGGGAACACAAGCAGGGGGAGAGGGAGAGGGAGAAGCAGGCTTCCTGTGGAGCAGGGAGCCCGATGCGGGGCTCGATCCCAGGACCCTGACCAGGGATCATGACCTGAGCTGAAGGCAGACGCTTAACGACTGAGCCACCCAGGCGCCCCTTCTTTTTATATCTTTAATTTTGCCCTGGATGTTTCTTTCTACTCTTTCTTCTTTTATGCAGCTGCTCTTTTTTCAAACCCTTCAGCTCATTTGTAGCCCATTGATACAGATGATCTTTCTGCTCTTGGCTCAGGGCACTTTGATTCCAGTGCCCCCTGGACCAGACTTATTTGATTCCAGTGTCTCTCCATTGGGACATGGTGAAGTTGACCAGCACTTGAAATCTTTCCTGAGACTTTGTGAAATTGTGACATTCAGTTTCTAATTCTTTTTTTTTTTTTTTAAGATTTTATTTATTTGGGGCGCCTGGGTGGCTCAGTCGTTAAGCGTCTGCCTTCGGCTCAGGTCATGATCCCGGGATCCTGGGATCGAGCCCCACATCAGGCTCTCTGCTCAGAGGGAAGCCTGCTTCTCCCTCTCCCACTCCCCCTGCTTGTGTTCCCTCTCTCGCTGTCTCTGTCAAATAAATAAATAAAAAATCTTTAAAAAAAAAAGATTTTATTTATTTATTTCAGAGAGAGAGAATGAGAGAGAGCACATGAGAGGGGGGAGGGTCAGAGGGAGAAGCAGACTCCCTGCCGAGCAGGGAGCCCGATGCGGGACTCGATCCAGGGACTCCAGGATCATGACCTGAGCCGAAGGCAGTCGCTTAACCAACTGAGCCACCCAGGCGCCCCAGTTTCTAATTCTTAAGAGTTGAAAAATGCAGTGGTATTTAAAAACAAATCAAGCCAAAAAACAACAACAGTCAAGTCAAGGTCTCAATTTTTAGTGTTACTTAGATGGTTATTTTATTGTTTTGGGTTTTTGTTTTGTGTTGTTGTTTTTAAAGGTTTTTACTTATTTATTTGAGAGAGTGAGCAAACAGAGAGAGCACAAGAGGGGGGGAGGCAGAGGAAACAGACTCCCCTCTGAGCAGGGAGCCCAGTGTGGGGCCCGATCCCAGGACCCCAGGATCACAACCTGAGCTGAAGGCAGACATTTAACTGACTGAGCCACCCAGGCACCCCATGGGGTTTTTTTTGTTTTGTTTTTTAAGTATAGTTGACACACAACATTACATTAATTTGAGGTTTACCACATAGTGATTCCACAAGTCTATATGCTATGCTATGCATTATGTTATGTTCACAAGTGTAGCCACCATCTGTCACCATATGAAGCTATTACAATGCCAGTGACGATATTTCCATGCTGTACCTTCTAACCCCATGAGTTATTCTAGAAGCCTGTACCTCCCACTCCTCTTCACCCATCTTCCTACCCCCTTCCCCTCTGGCATCCATGAGTTTGTTTTCTGGATTTATGGATCTGTTGATCTTTTACTGTTTTGATTTTACCCTGTCCCAGTTTGACTCGCTCACCTTCTCATTCCATATGCCTTCACTGTCTGTATTTTATTTAGAGCGGTTACCCTTCACCTAGATTATAGCAGATTTCCTTATTTTCCTCCCCCATGAGAATTTAAGACACAAGTGGTTCAGAATTTTCCTCTTTTAAAAGCACTTTACCTTTGTAGCTGCATGTAGTAGGAATTACCGCCTAAACAAAGGCATAGCTGAGCATGTTGCAACAGAAACCACATGGCTGGAAAAGCCTAAATGATGTACTATCTGACCTTTGTATACAGCTTTCTGACCCCCGCTCTAGGTTGTTACTCATGTTGAATAACAGCCATAATCATATTATCGTAAGGTGTATGTATGTCCAGAAATGCAGCTACTAGGACTTTAGGCTTTGAAGGCAAGCCGACTTACAACATTCAAATTGGGTAACATTGAGTGTGTTCTTGACTGTCCTTTTAGCTTTCCCCATACTGATTATAATATCTACTTGGGAGATTTTTATGAGAAACAAATAAGCTAATGGTTGGAAATCTCTGTGTAAAGTATTTCACACATCAGGGATGCTCAGTAGTACACTGTATTGTTAAGATTGACTTGAGGCTGTTGTGGGCTTTGATGGCTTTAAAATATCACCTGACACACAGCAGTGGAAGAGTTGATTGAATTTGTCTGTGGATGAAAATTTGTTGTGAGACAACATTAGACACTAGTGTACTGAGAAACTAGGAGACCCAGTGCAGCTTTACTTACTGACCTCACAAGAAGTGTGTTCCCATTCTGGAGCCTTCAAGTTGTGCTGCTGTTTATTATTCAGGCAAATTGCAGCCCCTGTATGGCAGTGAGGTAGCCTATATTCACACCTCTGCACGCAGAAGCCAGTGAAATGATGCACTTTCTCAAAGACCAGGCTTCCTGGGGATCCTGCAGGCCAATGGAATCCATGTTCAGGGGCTGGGCAGTTATGCTTGTCTGCATGCCAAAGGGTGTGGAATGCTTATTGTGTGTAGAGACCCAAGAGGCTGGTGTATAAATCAGTGCCTCTGGATTTTCAGACAGTGGGAACAAATTTCTGGAGGAAAGTGCTGCCTGATCCTTTATGAATTTTATGATCTCAGCAAATTCATAGGCAAACCCTTCTGGACTTCACTTAATTCACTTCTACATGGAACTCATAACTGCTTCTTCACAGGCAGAAAGAACCAGGGCACACTTTTCTGGGACAGACAAGGCTGTTCTGGCATCTTGGGATGTCAGTCTGTGTGTTGAGGAAGAGCCATCACCCAGAACTGGTGGTTGTCAGCACCCACACCATGAATGCAGGCCCTGTGGTGAGGTCTGAACTCCTGCCTAGCTCCAGTTTGTCAGTACACTGCCTGTCTCCTAGAGAGAATGTAGGAAGGGAAGGATTGCTGTTTCATAGAAAAACAGGAGACAGATAAGTAAATATTAATGCCTCTCAAAAGAATATTATTCCACTAGGTGGACCTGCCAGTTTATAGTGCATTGGCGTTCAAGGAAATATATCTATCTCAGGGCCTGGGTTGAAGGTTGGGCATAAGCAGACCCCTTAAGAATCAAATTGTTGGTGAGCAGAAAAGCAGGAAATGCTCTCAGACCCTCAACATGTTTTCATTCATTAAAACTTCATCTAGGTCCGGGGCAGCTGGGTGGCTCAGTTGGTTAAGCGACTGCCTTCGGCTCAGGTCATGATCCTGGAGACCCAGGATCGAGTCCCGCAACGGGCTCCCTGCTCGGCAGGGAGTCTGCTTCTCCCTCTGACCCTCCTCCCTCTCATGCTCTCTGTCTCTCATTCTCTCTCTCTCAAATAAATAAATCTTTAAAAACAAAAACAAAAACAAAAACAAAAAACCTCATCTAGGTCCAACGTTGGCTTCATGTGCTGAGGCCTGTAGAGGACAGTGAAGAAAGAGAAGAAATCCTTTTCATCACAGGAACTGATGTTTTTAAAGAGGAAATCCTTGTTTTATTTGTATAGTATTTCTTTCATATCTCCAATATATTGTGGACTGTTCTGGACCCTTTGGATGGAGGGAAAGAGTGAAAACAGTCACAAACTGTGGCAGGATGAAATCATTAGAGATGCTGTTAAATCTATAAGGCCAGCTGGCATCCCTGAGGATGTGAGTGTTTAATACAGGGGAGGAGATAGGATGACAAAGCCCAAGAGTAGATGGGGGGCCACAGAACTATGTGTCAGCTTGCTGTGAATCAAGTCCTGGTTCCCCGGTCAGCCTCCTCCTTCCTCCTGCACACACTGGTGGAGAATGGTACCTTGTTGAACCAGAATTTGTGGGATGTTTCAGGACTCAGTGGTTTTTGAGGATGTGGTTGTGGACTTCACCCCGGAGGAGTGGGCTTTGCTGGATCCTGGTCAGAGGAGGCTCTACAAAGATGTGATGCTGGAGACCTGCAGGAACCTGGCCTCACTGGGTAAGCATGGCTCCACCCCTTCACTTACCTGCAAGCTACTGAGCTTGTTCCAAAACTTGAGCTGAACAATGGGAATTAATTGCTAAGGAAGACAGACAGACATGGTCACAGTACTAGAGCATATAGTCTAATAACTTTCTACTGTACATATTTGAACCGCTTTCTCTCTTAAATGCTTTTAGCCTCTGTAAGGATTATAACTCTGTGCCTTAAGAGGAGCAAGCATTACAATTGGAAATATTAATAAAAAAAATTACTCTTCTTCCTGAGGAAGTTGAATTTTGTCAGATATCTTAGTGTCTTTTTTTTTTTTTTTTTTTTTTACTTTTCATCCATCCTCACAAAGGTCCTTGTTCACACTGAAGAACCTTCCATATTTTCTCTTTTAAAGTTAGTATTGAGCATGTGCATTTTGTCCAATTCCTTCCCATGTTGCTTTTCTGACAATAGGGCATTTATGTCACCAGAAGTCTCAATCTTCATGGAAGCATTTCCAGTAAATTGCCCACCATTTTGACCTCTTGTCCTTATTGTTGTCAATGTCCTGACATAGACAAAACTCTTCAAAGTTTGTTGTGTTTTTTTGCTCAAAAGTACATTCTTCCTTATAATATTTGTTTAATTTTTGGATCACTATTTGAAAAGAAATGAATGTTTCCAATTTATCTTTTTTGCCTTCATCTCACCAGTTCTTTCCAAAGAAAGTAAGTAAATTTTGTTGCTATTTTTCATATTATGACACTGAAAATCAGTAGGTCGAATCCTCTATAGCATATGTTTAGGGAAGAAATATGACATGAATGGAATATAATAAGATTCAGAAGAAATATTCCTGGTTCCTCATTGTAGGTGAAAACTGGAAATGCCCTGGCATTGAACATCAGCACAAGAACGCGGGGACATGTACGAGGTGAGTGGCATAGACTTGAGAGAAAGGAGGTCTCAGGAGAGAGTCTGAGTATGCCATGATAGTAATGTATGTGTCTGTGTACATATGTAGGTATACATCAGATGTTAGGTATTCAGAGCATTTTTACCAGTTTTATAAAAGTGGTGCACATGTTGATTATTTGAGACAGTTCCACTGTAAACAGCTATCAGGAAACAAAATGCAGTATGTAAAAAACACTGAAATGGTACAAGGGCTTGAGCCCTCAGTCAGAGCATTCAGCTTATATACCACTTTAGAACAGTTCTGACAGGGCAGAAAATGTACACATTCACTGAAAATGGTAAAAATGTAATCCTATTAATCATTAAAAGCCATCAATGAATTGTTAGCTAATCATTGGTAACATGATGCCTATTTTTAACAGGTGTCATGTGGTGGGGATACCCTCAGAAAATAATGGAAGTAATCAATGTGGAGAAACCAATCAGATTTCAAATTTTATTGTGCATAAGAGACTTCCTACTGGAGTAAATTCCTGTGAATACATTATGTTTGAAAAAGCCATCATGGATACTACACCCCTAAAGAGTCCCATAACATCATCTCAACATGGACAGAAACCCCATCAATGTAAGGAATGTGGGAAAACTTTTATTTGTTACTCATCATTTAGAGCACACATAAGAGCTCACACTGAAAAGAAACCCTATACATGTAAAGAATGTGGAAAAGCCTTTATATACTTCTCCAAACTTAGGGTCCATATAAGAATCCACACTGGAGAGAAGCCTTATGAATGTGAAAAGTGTGGGAAAACCTTCAGATCTCCCTCAAACCTCTGGACACATAGGGAGACTCATACTGTTGAGAAACTCTATGCCTGTAGAGAATGTGAGAAATCATTCTCTTCTCCCTCGTCTCTTAGAAAACATGCGAAGGTTCACAGCGCAGAGAAAGCCTATGAATGTAAGGAATGTGGGAAAGCCTTTCTTCATTCTTTTTACTTGATCATACATGCAAGAATGCACACTGGAGAGAAAGCCTATAAATGTGTGGAATGTGGGAAGGCCTACAGTTGGCCCTCTGACCTTAGGATTCACATGAGAACACACTCTGGAGAAAAGCCTTATGAATGTAAACAGTGCCAGAAATCCTTCAGTTCCCCCTCATCCTTTAAGGGACATCTGCGAACTCACACAGGAGAAAAACCGTATGCATGTAATGAATGTGGGAAAGCCTCAGCAGTCTCTCATACTTTAGAACACATGTGAGAATTCACACTGGAGAGAAACCCTATATATGTAAGCAATGTGGGAAAGCTTTCAGTTGGTCATCATCATTTCGAGGACATTTGAGAACTCATAGTAGAGAGAAACCCTGTAAGTGTAAGGAATGTGGTAAAATCTTCAGTAGACTCTCATCCCTACAAAGACATGTGAGAAATCACAGTGGGGAGAAACTCTAAATGTAAGCAGTGTGGGGAAAGATTTCTGTAATCCCCTATCCTTAAAAAAAAAAAAAAAAGACAGGAACTCCCACAGGAGGGAAACCCTATGTCAGTAAATGTGGCAAAACCATGTAAATTAATATCACTTATTGTGTACAAAAATTGCTTACTATTAGAAAATTTTTATAAGCATCTTATATTGTTGGCTTTATTAGTGCCTTATTCTTAAAATAGGCTCCTATCACATTATTTACAATTTTTTTTAAAGATTTTATATATTTGACAGAGAGAAAGCACAAGAAGGAGGAGCAGGAGAGGGAGAAGCAGGCTCCCCGCTGAGCAGGGAGCCCGATGCGGGGCTCGATCCCAGGACCCTGGGATCATGACCTGTGCTGAAGGCAGACACTTAACTGACTGAGCCACCCAGGTGCCCCACATTATTTACAATTCTTTCTGAGAAATACATTTAGGAGATAAATACTCCTTTAAGTATTACTTTGCCAAGGCAGCCCCAACAAATTGCCACAAAGTTGATAAAGAAACAGAAATTTATTCTCTTCCAGATCTGGAGGCTAGAAGTTGGAAATCAAGGTGTCATTAAGATTGGTTCCTTCTGGGGCTCCTGGGTGGCTAAGTTGGTTAAGCGTCCAACTCTTGATTTTGGCTCAGGTCGTGATCTCAAGAGTTGTGAGATTGAGCCCCATGTGGAGCTCCATGCTGGGTGTGGAGCCTGCTTAAGATTCTCTCCCTCTCCCTCTGTTTCCCTACCCCTCCTCCCGTTTATGCTCTATTAAAAAAAAAAGTATATATATAGATGTGTGTATATATATATGTATGTGTGTATACACACACACACACACACATATAGGCACCTGGGTGGCTCAGTTGCTAAACGTCTGCCTTTGCCTCAGGTCATGGTTCCAGGGTCCTGGGATCAAGCCCCACATTGGGCTCCCTGCTCTGCAGGAAGCCTGCTTCTCCCTCTCCCACTCCCCCTGCCTGTGTTCCCTCTCTCTCTGTCTCTCTGTCAAATAAAATCTTAAAATATATATATAAAATATATTTCCTTCTGAGGAGGAACTTGATCCATGCCACTTTACAAGCTTCTGGTGGCTACCACAACACTTAAGTGTTCCTTGGCTTATAGACATTCCAATTTCTGCCCTGTCTTAACATCACCATTTCTACCTGCTTGATCCCTTTTTTTTGTAAGGACATGTGTCATAGAATTCAGTGCCCACCCTAATCCAGGATGATCTCATCTTGAGATCCTTATTACATCTGCAAGGACTCTTCAAGTAAAGTCACACTCACAGATTCAGAGTGGACATATCTTTTGGGGGGGCCACCATTTTACCCACTATATACCCGGTCAGCCAAGACATACCTTTTGATATACAGTGTTTTAATTATGAATTGTTTACATAGAAATTATTTATCCTATAAGTCTTTGGACCAGTAGATCTTTTGAAGTTATTTTTAAATATGTAATCTTTGGGATTTTAGATCCATTTTATTTCTAATTTTCATTAGGTTTCAAGCATGTGGTTATTATGATAATGATACTTTGGTGTCATTGGAATTTTGTTTCTTGCACATACTGGGATTTATATACCAGACATCTAATCTCTCTTTTCTCCTTTCTAAGAAAAACAGTATTTTTGAGGTTCTCAGTCTTTTGTATTAAAAAAAAAAATGTATGTTTGGCATTTCTTCTAGGTAGTGGACACAATATTTTATTTTCTGGCAGAGATTCCTCAGTGTAAAGCTGTTGAATGAAGACACCATCATCTGACTTACTTTCCTCTTTTGCTCATTTTTGCTCACCTTAGCTCTTGGCGGGAATTGGATACAGAGCTTTGACTATGATAAAAGCTAGAGTAGCTATTTTGTGATAGATTGTGATGTATCAATGTGGGTAAGCCTGGGAACATTTCCCAGAATCTTTTCCCCATATCGTCCCAGATTAGAAATGGTAAAGATGGCAAACTTTGTATGAGATCAGAAAGGCAGAAATGAACATGTCATACTTAGTTTTGTGAACTATTGTACAGTAAAATGTATGCATCAGAGCTTGGTAAGCATCAGTTTCTAGCAGATTTTCCTGCCTTCTGGGCCCATTAATCAGGAGTGTCTACAAACCAAAAATCAGTTATTTGACTTCATCAGAGTTGGTGTCATCCACAGGCATCTCCCATAGCTCTCCTGTCATGTATCCACTTCCATTCTCACATATCCATAATTTAGATCTTTCCTGCAAGCTCCAATACATCCACCCAGGCCACTGATTTGTTTGTTTTTTGGTTGGTGACCTTTCCTGACACTCCCTCATTTCTCCAATTTTACCGTATTTGTGTTAGGTTGGATTTGTGTTGTAAACATTTTCCTGTAATATGTCCAGTGGCCCTGTGTACCTGACTCCACAGGAACTTCTGAAATTTATAATTGTGTCAGAAAACACAAAGGACTTTGTTTCCTGATTGCATTGTCAAGTGGTTGCATTTACCCTGTACTTTTTGTTTCTGGACAATTCTATATGAGAAATAGGTACCTTATAAATACATGAAGCAGATTGTAGGAGTTTTCTGTTACAGCTGAATGCGATCTCTAAATGATAATATGTGTTCACTTACAATTTTTATGTTTGCAAAATAATTTGTGCTCTTTGGTCAAACAATTTTTTGGTACTTAATTCTTGGAAGAATCCTAGTAAAACTGATTTTATATCTTCTGTATATTTAAAACATTATCTTTCATGTACTGAAAGGATATGTTACAGTATTCCAATACAATTATGGACTGTCAAAACAATACTATAAATTTGTCTTTTTAAACATACATTCTGAGGCCCTAAGACACATTTTAGTTTTTTGGGTTTTTAAAAAAGGATTATTTATTTATTTGTCAGGGGGAGAGAGAGAGAGAGAGAGAGAGAGGGATCAAGAAGGGGGAGGGGCAGGAAGAGGGCCAGGGAGAAGCAGGCCTCCCACTGAGCAAGGAGCCTGATGCAGACTTGATTCCAGGACTTTGGGATCATGACCTGAGCCGAAGGCAGACGCTAAACCAACTGAGCCACCCAGGCATCCCCAGATTTTAGTTTTTTTATGTGAATTTTCATATTCTTATAATGGTAAGCAATTTCCCCTTTAAAACAACTTAATCCATTTGTAAGGGTAAAAACTTATATATTGGCTAGGTCAATGCCCACCAGCCAGAACTCATGAGAAACATGTGCAGTTGAACAAAATTCCTGCAATAGGTGACTGCTTAGCATGAGGAACAATGGAACATCTCAGAAATTGCATAGTAGAAAGAACCTACAGGAAGTGGATTTATTTCAGTTGATTTGGGGGAGGGCATCACAAAAGTAGACTTTGCACTGGGTTGGACACTGTCAGAAAGTGTAGAGTAGAATGTTAATTCAGCAGGCTTTGGTTACTCAAATTCTGCACTTTACAAAGAAAACACTAGCCCTTGACCAGCTCCTGGGAGATAAATTCTGAGTCCTTGGAACATTCTGCCTAATAAGAGTGTTTTGTAAGTCTACATTCTTGGACCACACTGTATCAGTTTGGGTAGTTTATGCTAACAATGTGACTTAGAGTGAATGCCTGCTTTTGTATGCATGAGGCTACAGATGATGCTGTACCAGTATGACCTCTGAGGAAGGAAGCTGGAGGTTAAGTAGCTAAGCTCAGTTATGTGGATGTTACATGGCTACATGACTGACCCCCAGTAAAAACCCTGGAGACCAAGGTTGGGTGAGCTCTGATTGTCGACACTTCACATGTGTAGTCATACATCATTGCTGAGAGTGCTGTCTATGTCACTACTGAGAGAGGACAACTGAAAGTTTGCACCTGATTTCTCCTAGGCTTCATTCACCCTATGTGCTATTTCCCTTTGCTTATTTTAATCTATCCTTTTACCATAATTATGGTATAATGGCTCTTCTGAATCCTGTTGGTCCTTTGAGAGAATCATGAAGCCTGAGAAAGCTCTTGGGGACTTTTGATACAAGAAGTGAATGTAATTGTATGATTGAGAATTTCAACAGTCACCAGAGTCCACATGTATCTGGGCTAGAGAATGTGGCTGTTTATAATTCTTTTCAAAGAATTGTAGGGGCGCCTGGGTGGCTCAGTCAGTAAAGTGTCTGCCTTCGGCTCAGGTCATGATTGCAGGGTCCTGGGACTGAGCCCCATGTTGGGCTCCCTGCTCAGCGGGGAGTCTGCTTCTCCCTCTTCCTCTGCCTGCTGCTCCTCCCTGCTTGTACTTTCTCTCTTTCTCTGTTAAATAAATAAAATCTAAAAAAAAAAAAAAATTGTAAATTGCATTATATGTTTGGCATTATCATTTTGATGCTATTATAGTCCAAATAACAGAACTTGTATCCTGGAAATCATAAAAGTTGTCCCTAGTTTGAAAAAGGGATAGGATCATCTGCATAGTTTTACCCCAGCATATGTCCTTTCCTATAAGCAGAATGAAATCTATGCAAGCTTTTGGTGATCCAGTAGATGCAAGGAAAAGAACTGTAGCTGGCGAGGTGATTTTTCCTAAGAAAAATGAAGGTGAGCGGCAAATACAGTATGTCCTTTTGAGTACTATCTCCCCCCGACCCCCGCTCTCTCTCACTCTCTCCTAAATAAATAAAGTCTTAAAAAAAAAAAAAAAAAAAAACAAACACCAGAATCTTAATTTTTAGGTAAGCAAAACGATTCTGTCCACCTCCTGGACAATGTTACAAAGAATGGCAGATAAAGGAAAGAAGGAATCTTGAGCCATCAGGCCTTTCTTGGAATCCAGTTGGAAAATAGTTACACCCCCCTGGGCCATGCTTGCCCTCACCTCAGGTACTTGGCCAGAGGGAGGTGATGGCAGAAAAGGGTGCAAAGGCCAGACTTTGCTGTGTCTCAGTCTCCAGGCAGGATTCTTTAGGCATAAAGACTGTAACACTCCTACACCTCCCTCAAGGACTTCCTTCAATGTTTTACCACTGTAGCTTTGCTCTGGTTATTGTAACTTCACCCCCCGACACCCAGAAGATATGTTAGCAGTCATCCTTCAAATATATGGCCCACTAAGACACATCTGAAGTGTCTCATGACTAATGTTTTATTAGACAGTAGTAAATAACCTTATCATAACAGCAGCTAGCCCCTCAAGGTCCTGGAAGCCTTGCTTCCAAATACCTTAGAGACTTAACGCTATCCTTAAACCCCACTAACTAAAAAGTACATCATCAGTCACTCCTCGCAATCCCAGTGCAGCTTTCTGCCAACAGGTCCTGTCCCCGTGCTTAATAAAAAACTCCTTTATGCACTGAAAATTCATGCAAATTCTCAAGAATTCTTTCTTGACTGTCCACTCCATGGCCCCACATCATAAAGGACCCGGCGTTTGTCCTACAGAGTCCTGGAAATCTGAGCTCTGGGAGAACCGTGGGTCTGAGACAAAGGCAGACCTAGTATTCTCAAGGAGGGCTCTCCTGGGCAGGATTCCAATCTTTGGCCATCTGCATCATAATCCAGGGTCTGCCTTGAGGCCACCGCAGCTCTGGCACCCCCATCCCAAACCCAGTTCTGTGCTTTTTACTGTAAGAATTCACTAGGAGATCCACATCTCTCCCCATCTAGGAAATACCTCCCTGGAGCAGCACCACACAGCAGTGAGGTTAGACGGAGTAGAAAAGGGTCAGTGAAAGCTGACCCCTCTGTCCACATCCCTTGGTGGGAGAAACGGCTCTCCAGCTCCAGCAGCTCAGCAGCCCAACCCCCAGCTGCCACACCCACTTCACGGGCTCACCCGCCTCGCCCCTCCGCGCAGGTGCGCACATGCGCAGTCGCAGCCCTGCGCCACAGCCCGCGCTCTCCTGGCCGGGCTCTCGCCCGGAGACTCAGGGCCGCACACGTGCAATCCACGTCCGGAAGCACAGCACCGTCATCTGGTTCCCTAGTCGTGCCCAGACTCCAGGCGAGGTCTGCAGAGCCCACTCCTTAGTGCCCCTGGTCTCTCACTTCCTGAGACACACCCCGGGGGTCCCCAGCCCCTTAGGAAAAGCAGTTCAAAGAAAGACGGGCCTCCAAGGCCAGGATCTGGCCCTCGGGTTGCTCCCAGCACACACCGCGCCGCTCCAGACCAGCCGTTCCCGGAAGCAGCTGCCAGCTCAGACCTTGGCCGAGCATTCCCGCGCAGGGGGATCTACTTCCCGCCGCCAAAGCGGCGCCCGCGGGTCTCCCGGAAGAGACGGCCGGCCGGAAGTGGCAGAAAGCCCCGCCCCGGGGAACTCGCCGCCGCTTCCGGTCGGTGCCCAGCAAGGGCTCCGGGCCATTGCTCAGCTTCAACCTTCTCCCTTCCTCTGACTGGCTGCCGGGGGGAGGCCGCTGAAGAGCGCAAAGCCCGCCAGGTGCGAAGGGAACCGCAGCCAAGTTGACTCGGAGAGACCCAGAGGAGGACACGACGGCTGAAGAGGCGACAGACTCCGCAGTCTGCCGGCGGTTCGCTGCTAGAAACAAAAGGGACATCCCAAACTCCGTCAGATAGTGAGCGGCGCATCAGTGGAAGAACCTTAAAACAGAGTGACCGGCTGGAGCAGGAGCATTCCTCACAAGGGATACTGGCCCTTGACTTTCAGGACCTCGGGCTCCTGTCGTGTAGTGGTGATGCCCCCTTGACAGTTTCTTAGGGATGGGGCCGGTTCAGTCAAATTTCATGCACAATGGGAACTCAGTAGTGTGAGGTCCCTTCCCACCGGGCCAGCTAAAAGACACTCACTTGTGATTTGTCTTGGGTGCCGGGGGGGGGGGGGAGCACCACGTAGCCACATAGGAAGGGAGTGAGAACTGTCCACTTTTAAAGTGCAAGTAGATATGCATCTTTTATGAGGTTTGAACAAAAGCCCCATTATTTGTGTGTGAATGTATAAGCATCCCAAACCTGGATCATCTAACAAGTACTTCTTGATCACCTGTGTGCCAGATCCTGGGCTATGGGCTGGAGATGCATCAATGAATACACACACACACACACACCCTAAGTCATAGGGACGTCCTGTACACCATGATGACTATAGTTAATAATACTGTACTGTAAATTTAAAAGTTGCTGAGAGTAGATCTTAAAAGTTCTCATCACAAGAAAAAAATGTTTGATTCCAATCTATGTGTGGAGATGGATGTTAATTAGACTTATTTTAGTGATTTTATATACATATATGAAATCATTATGTTGTACACCTAAACAAATACAATGTTACATGTCAACTATATTTCAATAAAATAAAATAAAGAATAATACCACGATGTTCACTATAATTACTTCTATTGAATGGGTATTGAAAGTTCTAGATAGTGTAATAACATAAGAGAAAGAAATTACAGACATAAGCTCTTTAAAAGAAGAAATGAAATTTGTTATTTGCAGGTGATATCATGATTTAGATTGAAAACACACAAAAATTCTACAGACAATTAGAAAAAACAAAGTTTGGCAATTTGGTTATAAAATTAATATACTTTAAAAGTCAGTTGTGTTTTCATTATACTATCAGTAAACAACTGAAAAGCTTAAATAAAGAGAAGGCACCACTGTAAATTAAGAAATACCAAGTACCTAGAGATAAATATAACAAAAAATATGCAACACTCAAAGTCACAAAACTTATTAAGATGTGTTTAAAAGACTTACATAAATAGATATATATACCATATTCATGACTAGAAAGACTCAATATCATCAAGATGTCAGTTGTTTAATCTATAGATTAAGGATTAATCTATAGATCAAAGAAATTTCACACAAAATGCAATAGAATTTTTTATGGGAATTGAAAAAAATGATTGCAAAATATATATAAGGCAATAATGCAATAAAGAAAAAACAATAAGGCACTTCTGAAAAAGAAAATCAAAGACAAGGGACTTGTCCTATCAAATATCAGCAATTATACAAAATCATAATAATTAAGACAGTGCACATGGATACGGTATGGGTGCAAGGATAGGCATATCAAATAGGCATTGGCTAGTGGACTAGAATAATAAGCCCCAAATCAAACCTACATGTGTATATAACTTTGGTATTTCACAGTTTATATAAAAATCAACTCCAAAAACATGGTATTGTTGGAGGAGGTCATCAAGAGAATGTGACCACTGGTTGATCCTCAAGCTGAACCTGGGCAACTGGACAACTGGCAATGTAAAGGATACAGCCTTGAGAGAATAAGATGTTGTTGAGACCATCTGGACTGAGTATGTAACTGAGCCCAGGTAAGGCCTCTATAAAGACTTTTAAGGATGAATGTGGAGACCTGCTTATTTTGTGGCCACCCAAGACAAGCCTCATATGTAAGTTCCCTTGTTTATTTAACCTGACAACCAATCTAGAGTGATCTGCCTCTTTCTTTGGTCTCTCCTTGCCCTCTATATGGGGCCCAGTTTTAAATTTCACCTGGGGAATGCTCAAGGTTTCAAATAACAGAATAAAATAGAATGTCATTCAGCCTTTAAAAGAAAGGAAATGCTGGCACATGCTACAACAAGGATGAACCTTAAGGATATTGTGATAAATAAAATAAGCCAGTTGCGGGGTGCCTGGGTGGCTCAGTTGGTTAAGCATCTGCCTTCAGATCAGGTCATGATCTCAGGGTCCTGGAATCAAGCCCCACATTGAGCTCCCTGCTCAGTGGAGAGTCTGTTCTTCCTCACCCTCTGCCTCTGCCCCCCACTTGTGCTCGTGCTTTCTCTCTCTCTTTCTCTCAAATCAACCAATCTTTTTTAAAAAATAAGCCAGTCACAAAAGGACAAATATTGTAAGATTCTATATATATATTTTTAAAAATTGCTATCATCTCTAGTAACAATATTTGCTTCTTCCTTCCAATTATATTCATCGTTGTGTTTTCTGACATCACATCATGGATTAATGTATTGATAAATATTTGGGGTAAAAACAAAAATAAAATAGTTGGTTTTCCATTGATTTGGTTTGGTTCTTCCTTTCAACGGGAAGTCTCTCAGGCCCTGTTTTGAGTACTTAAGCTGGCCCAGCAGTCACTATGTCTCAAAGTGGCCAAAGGACTTTTAAGACCTGAAAATGACTTTTAAAAAGAAACCAATTGGTGGCACCTGCTTAAGATTTCATCCAAGGGTAGAGCACAATCTATTCCCCAATTGGGACCTTACTATAGCGAATGGGTAAGAATAAAGTTGTTTCTCTTTTTGAGAAAGCCCTGGATGGGCTCTGATTCCTAACGCACTTCCCTCAATGCAGGGGGATTCAACAACAATGTTCTGGCCTTCGTGTCTGCCATTGAGGAGATCAATAGGAATCCCCTTTGGTTAAACCACACAATTTTAGGATATCATGACTACAATGCCTACCACGGTAATCAAAGCAACTTGGAGAGCACCCTGATGTGGCTTACGGGAAGGGGCAAGACTTTACCCAATTTTACCTATGAGAAACAATAGGTTCATGGCCATCACTTTAGGAATGCCATCAGCCATTTTTGCACAGATTTGGAGTAGGTGGAGGAAAGACACTATTGGAATTGTACAAATCCCCACAGGTGCACTTGAAGGTAGGTTGAAGAGAGGAAGGGATGAAGTGTTTCCTCAGTACTATGCTCTTTTTTCATTGTTCTCAATTCTTTTTTTTTTTTTATTTTATTATGTTACGTTA